AAATTATGAAACTCCCTGTTATATTCCCAACAAGTGCTCTATACATTTGGCTAATTAGATTGGCTGTCTGTAAAAGTGAAATTATATAATTAAAAATTCCCATCCAATTAAAAAAATGATTCTCTATATTAATTAAAAAAGTGGGATTACAATGAGAAGAATCTTAATAATGACTGCAACAGTCTATTGTACCAAAGAAGGGCTCTATTTGTACTGATTCATTTTTACGGCTAAGAAGAAACAATAGAGCGCATTACGATGGCATATGAATAGAGTGAGCCCGTATAAAGTCCTATACAGAAAGTAACTGAAAAACACAGACGACCTTTGGTCACGAGTTCCACATACGAAAACAAGAAAAGTGTCCATATCAACATGGGTCCGGAAACACTTAAGCTGTGGGTTCTAACTGAAACAGTACAGTGTAAACATAAGCATCTCAGCATTAATATGTGGGCAGGGATTCTTGGTGACTGGTAGGCCCGCATGTGTAGTCACAGCGGCAGGACACTGAGTCCTAGTACGAGTATCTTCAGCCCAATACACCGGCGCATTCTTCGGGCGCTGTCTCCTAGTTCTTGGCGAAATGAGGGGTCCCCTTGTTACCCCATCCACCCTAATCCCCTGGTTTATTTCCAGCTGACATTTTTTTTTATTTCGTAGATTAAAAATTGCGAATTGTTTCATCGATCCAGCAGACTGCGACATGAGAACTGAAGACGATAGGGGAAGAACCGTTTTCTCGGGCATTCGATTCGCTGTATGAGCGATGTAAACGTTGTGTAGAAGCGGGCGGGGACTATATCGAGAGATCGGATTGATAAAGAATTTGTTATAATTTCTGCGTAGTTTCTTATGCTCTCAGTTCGCGAACTTAATCGTCACACGGCGTAATTATCAGGGCCCGGATTTTGATGACATGTCATCTTTTCTTCCTTGTATCCTGTGCGATGCTCTTAAATATATAAATCTCGGATATGAGCTGCTGGTTACAGATATGTAAATTTTATAGGTAATTGTTTGTCATTTTTTGACATTTTTAGGTTTAAGGTCTTTCTTTTTATTTGGGGGTAATTTTTTGGTAAATTTTGGACTTTTACGGGTATTTCTTGTCATTTTTGGCCATTTTAGGGAATTTTTCTTCATATGTTTCCTGAAATGTGAATAACATGGAATCGAAGTGTTCTTTCTTTTCTCCTTTGGGTCATTTTTCTGGATCTTTTCGGTCATTTTATAGGTCATTTTTTAAATATTTTCAGATCATCAAAATCCGGGCCCTGGTAATTACCCAATTTGTAGCAATTATGAAGAGGCAATGGGACACGTGGTCGCGTAGTTGGCTGAGGCACTATGCTACAAGACGGAAGGTCGCGGATTCGACTCCTGATGAGGTCACTGGATTTTTCAGTTGACCTAATATTTCCAGCCGTATTATGGTCCTGGGGTCAACTCAGCCTCTAACAGAAATGAGTATCAGGAATCTTCATGGTGACCAGCGCGTAAGGCTGACAACCTCACCGCCATCTGTGAGCCGATTATCTAGAGAAAATACGGGAGCCTCGACGTCTCACAACCCAATGGACCTCCACGGCCAGTTACAGAGATAGCTTTACTTTTCTTATATACCTAATATTAATAACAAAATTTTGTACTACTTGCTAAGGCGCAAACAAAAAGTTCTGGTAAGAACTAATTGCCTACTTTCCTTTGGTACGACACAGACCATAAAGAAAGCGACGCGTCCAATAATTCTTCTATTGTTATTTGCGTAATTTTTCCAGCGGTAACGTTTTTATAAAGCCGTTGCATAGCAACGACAAGGGTACACATATACAGACATAGATTGATGGAGGGATTTATGAAGTACGCCTTTGAGATGCGCTCAGGTGCCATGACATACGTAGAAAATATCACAAAGATTGGTTCAGCCATTCAAAAGCTGATGATGATGGGGGGGGTTCACAGACAGACAAGATGGAGATCGCATATGCGTACTTTCAATTTTTCAAAATACGGGAAATACGCTCAAACCGGCTTAAATATAGGTATATTTTCCGTTGGAAAACTGGCTGGCACGCTGGAAAATGATGACGACGGTGCCAATGACTGATAATCTGGTAGGATTTCTTGAACAGGAGATCGACTCATCATAGGGTCTCTGTCTGCACTGGGCAACAGAAGCAAGGAAGAAAGGCAGGCATATATCCGCGGCCCGGGTTAGATTCGATCCCTAGATTCCAGTGTTTGAGCAGGCCAAAGAACAAAACGTGCCAATTTTCTATTGCAGGATTTAGTTATATCAAACTTTAAAATTACAATTGCACACATACATCCCCTTTAAACGTCATTTAGATGCAGCATAGCTAACGCGCCAGTCCGGCAGTTCATTGGTCAAATTAAACTGTTTCTCTGCCGAGGACAGTGGGAACTGTGACCGTTTGACACATTTATTAGTTCCATAACCTGTTTCAACTGGACACGCACGCGCGCTCTGACCACTGACAGCAACGCCGCTTGATCGTGTTTTGTTTGAAAGTAATCACTGCATCGCAGGCAATGGTCAGAACACCTTCATGTACCTGGGAGATATAGGGTTCGGTTCCCAGTGCAGATGACCGGAACTCTGACATTCATCTGGACTCACTTTGCAGGCGTTTGCTGAGACAGTTCCTTAAAATCGGTCACGCACGTTTTTCTAACCTCTTCCGCATTATCCTCGTGTACAATGATAAAAACTTTGCAATTGAAAAGGTGTCGATAAATAAACCAAGTTACAAGAAATGTCGGCGCAGACTTGTACGCATAAGCGCTGCCTGTATTTTGCTCCAAGGCGAGCCCAACATAAAACTTGCGTTTCAACTTACATTTAAGTCGAAACCCGTTACTGATTGTCTTGGATTATTCGGGACAGAATAATATATTTTTTAAAATGCTTCTAATTTTCAGCCTACTTTCCTAAGTTTGAAAAAATAAAAATACGCTTATCACATCCATCTTAGCTTAATTAGAGTGATCAAGTTCAGAAAGGATGCAATGGGCAGGGAATGTAGCACGAATGGGGGGAAGAGAAATGCATAGAAGATATTGGTGGAAAGCCAGAACGAAAGAGACACAAGGCAGACCAAAAAGTAGGTGGGTGGACAATATTAAGACGGATCTTAGAGAGAGAGAGGATCGAGTGATATGGACTGGACTGATCTGGCTCAGGATAGGGACCAGTGGAGGGCTCTTGCGAACACGGTAATGAACCTTCGGGTTCCATAAAATGCTGGCAAGTTCTTGAGTAGCTGTACAACTGGCGACTTCTCAAGAAGAGCTAAGCTCCATGAGATGATCATCCTATCATGCTGTCTGTATATCTCCTCCATGAGCTTCTGAATGCCTGAACCAGTCTCTATGAAACTCGGTATGTATATCCTGACACCTGAGCCCATCTCAACGGCGTACTTCATAAATCCCTCCCATCACTCTCTGTCTATGTGGAGCTCGGTAATACGTTGCCGCGGCAACGAATACATATGCAAAAATAATAGTTGGAGGCGTCGTTTCCTATGCGGTCCGTGTCCTGTCTATGGAAAGTAGGTGATTAGTTCTTCCCGGAACTTCTTGTTTGTATTAATATTTGGTACAATTACTTCTTTCCTTCGATTTACATTTTCCCCCAAAAAGCTTGGCCCCCTCCCTCTCGCTGGAACCCATATTTGTATGGCGAAATTTTGGAGTTGAGTGTCTGGTAATAAACAAACAGATGCCTATCTAGGCCTCCATCCTGAAGAATATTTTTAAAATCTATTAACAGATCCTGCATTGTATTACAAAGACTTGCAAATAAATATTTATGCTGCATAGGGATCTTCTCTCTCTGTGACGTAATCTCATGGGCCTCGTCTGAGGCGCGCCAGCGGAGGCAAAGTCGGTGCTCTGCTGCGACGGCTCTTGCTCCTTTAAAGACTGCATTTCTTCTAAATAGTATATATAAACTCAGTCCGTACCTCACTGGAAACGCATTACGTCACAGCTACAAAGCCCAACCGATTAATACTGCTTTGGGAAACAGTCGCTGTTTATTGTGAGAACCATATGAAACACACAGATACACTCTGTGAGCAGAATGCAGAGTTTTAGCATGGTAATGCAGGTGGTATATAGAGTGACCACTGGGTTTTGAAGGGTTACGAGAAGCTTTCGATAGCTTTAACTGTGAAGTAGAAACTAAGGAGAGCCAGGATAGCTCAGAGAGCATAGTGACTCACTAACCAGCAGGGGCAGAATTTTTCTGTTCACGACTGTGTCTAGACCAGTGGTTCTATATCTGTGTGCCGGGAGCCTTTACCAAATGCGCTCTGAGGCTTGAAGGAGAATTATTATATAAAATAAAATACGGAAACTAGAAAGTTGATAATTTTAATATTATTATCCTAATTAAATATATCAGTAATTATTTAAATCATAAGAATAAACTTATATCTGAAACCTGGTAGCAGAAATTAAGTACCATTAGTTGGTGGTGGTGATACAAAAAGAGCAATGACACCCCAGCCCTTAGAGCAAATTAATTCCTTCCGATTTTGTTGACAGTCTGCTGACCTAGTGGGGCACAATTATATAAAGTCTGGAAGTAACATAATTTGCGTAAACTTTGTAAATTGCTATCGGAAACAAACATCACTTTTCTATTTTATCATAGTTCTATATCCTTATACAATAAACGACACTATTTTGAAATAAGTACAGTTGTACAGTACATTTCAGTTCACTACAATAATTCTAGTACACGGCAAAAACAAACATGTGACGCAAGCACCAAGCGTTTAAGTACCACCTGTCTAGGCTGACTATGGGACCCACCAAGTCCCCTGTCTTTCTCCAGGAGTAAAACAACCAGAGAGTGTAGATGAACACTTAACTCTGTCTAGACCCGAGGTCTTCATGGTGTGGTGGTTAATAACCTTAGTAACCTTTGCTACATGAAACTATAAAGATACACAAATATTACTTACTTGTAACTAATGACATCCAACACCACGTGAGGCGAATCGTCTTCAAAAGAGAACAAGCAACAATTCTTCCAACGGTTGGTTTCTTGTTTACATAGACTACAAACTAAACACCGAGTTTACTGACGGCAAAATAAACCGTTTTACACGTTTTCCAAGATAAGCTCAGACACGCGGCAGAAGAAACATTTAAAGCACACGACAAATGTAAGGGAAGAAGGTAAGAAGTTTAAGACAAAACGAAATATAAGCTGTAGACGGGAATAAAGTCTTTCACCTTTTTTCAAGACTACCACACACTCCGTTCAGCTACTCAAAGCAAACATTTCTGTCTGATATTCCTCCACAAAACAACAGCTGGCTTCAACTGTCTTGTCAACGGTTACAGACACATCGCGTTCCTCCGCTTCGTAGCTCTGTGGCGGACTACAATCTCTGGCCTGCTACCAGGGGTTTTCTGTATTAACGACAAAGACAGACTTATAATCTCTATCTCTCTCATACTACGGTCTGGTGATCTACCAGTTCGGGGCCTTTCGTGAGTAAGTGAGATGGGAGAATGTATTTCTCGCGGAACCAAAATATATTCTCTATTTCTTTTACGCCCTCGCACGTACCGTACTATCACACTCTCTCACACACCCACTGGCCCAGGAGAGAAGAGAGGCTGAATCTTCTATCTTACTCCTCCTCTCATTCATGAGCGCCGACCTGCTCTCTCACATTCTCTCACCACGCTTGCGCAATGATTCTCGGTCGCCATCGCTTACTTTCGGACAAATTCGTTCATATTCGGAGATGACTGTGCTATATATATAATATTTTTAAAGAGCACAGACGAGTAACGTAAGCTTGGACATTCAAATACAGATCACAGAAGAGTATAAAGTACCAGTGGTGAAAATGTTTTCTTTATGCGGAATAGAGTCGAGACGAAACGTTACCTGAAGTGCAGGGAGTACGCTGGTACGAAAGTTACCTGCGTCTAGAGGGGCCCATACACGTACGAGTCTGGCACGCGAGTCCGGCTCGGCTCGGGTTCCAATCAGCGAAACTCGTACGTGTTTGGGTCGCCATGCTCACGCGTGTGTAGTGAAATTAACCCGAGCCCGGCTCCCGAGTCAAGTTCGCCGAGCCGGACTCGTACGTGTATGGGCCCCTTAACAGGAAAAGACAAAATAGTATGCAGCAGATAAGGAGCCGAGATGGCTCAGTCGGTATACCGACGAGACAGCGGGCTGGGGTTCGATTGCCGGCAGGGGCTAGAAATTTTCCTAGACGCCACAGCGCTCAGACTGGTTTTGGAATTCACCCAGCCTCCTATCCAGTGGGTGCCGTGGGAGGCAAAGCGGCCGGGATCTGAAGCTGACCACTTATCTCCATCTAATGCCGAGGCCAAGAGTGGTGGAGCTATACCTCCACTCCCCCATACGTCTTCATGACACCATGCTTAATTAACTAAGCACAGGCGCAACTTTACCTTTTTCAGTATCTATCAATTCCTGTTGCTTCCTCTTGGAGCACAGGACATCCACGAAACGCTTCGTTTCACTTCAGTTTCTTAATCTTAGGCAGTCGGTAGGACTCCCTAGACGGAGGATCAGCCTGACGCAAGACCTCTGCCTATATACAGAACAACGGCAAAACAGAATAAACGCAGACACACATCCATGCTTTGAATTGGATTCGAACCCACGATCCCAGAGTTCGAGCGGACGAAGACATCCCATGCCTTAGACCTTGCGGCAACTGTGATCAGTTATTTTAGTATGTAGAAGATTAAATGAACAATCTAGTTCAAAAACCATTTACGTTCCAATGTTGTATCTTAAAATCTTTAATATGATGTTTCCTTGAGATTTTTTTAAGTCATGAAGACGTATGGGGGAGTGGAAGTATACCTCCACGCATGCTTAACCTCGACAATACACAAAGGCGAGTGGCCAGACTCACTCCCGGGCAGCTTTAGCCCAAAAGTAGGAGCCTCTTTACCCAATGGAAATGAGGCTGGCGGGCCCCACAGCCGGTCTGAACTCTTTGGTGAACAGAAAAATCTCTTGCCTCTACCGGAAATGGAATTCTGATCCCTCGGCTGTCCAGCCCGTAGTCTCCATCGCTATTAAAGTTTGTGTCTGTTGCTGAATATGGGTATGAAACTTGGTCTCTTTCGAAATTCGTGAAATAGGCCTACGTTCATGAAGCCTGTGTATTTGAACATGCATCTTTCAGTTCAGTTCGGAATGTGTACTGTAACCGCGTTATTAATGGTCGAAAATAGGCACTGAAATTTTGTCTTGAGATCACGTGTATCTTTGCTGAACACAGTTTCCTTGCAGGAGGAGTTTTAAGAAACTTACAGTTGTTCACCTAAACAAAAAAAAATCCCCGCCTTTTCAGGACATCATAAATTGAATGCCGTTCACGCATGAGCTCCTGCACCTAGACTCCAAATGTGAGCCAGGTGGATGTAGGCTCTCTGTGTGGGGGATATGACAGGATGTCTGCGAAACAAGTTATTTTGAGAGCATGAAGGAGACAAGACATGTTGCCCTTAAAGGTCCGATTTTTGTCTTCAGCGCAGAGTTATTAGAAATGTCACATAGTTCAGTATTGCACTGAGGAGTGTACCGGTCTTTTGAAAATTTTAGCTTGAGAATCTTAAGGACTATATCCGATTTTGCAATTTGTCAAGGTAGACCAGGCACTGGGAACGTCGGAGGGGGGAAGGGGGGCTGTAAGACGCTTTTCTGGAGCGGCTCTGTCGTTGGCTGCACACCGGAAATGTCTCGTACGTCAGTGGCTTATTCCCCCCCCCCAAGTCATAGGGCTTTCNTTACTTCTCCATTATGACACCAGATATCTCACAGCGTTATTAATTCTCTTGTGGGGCCGTGCCATAGCTCAAGCGGTTAGTCACTGGCTTCACACCGCGGCGGCCCGGGTTCGATCCCGGGTCTGGTCAAGTGGGATTTGTAGTGGACAAAGTGGTGCTGGGGCAGGTTTTCTCCGAGTACTTCGGTTTCCCCTGGCAGTCTTCATTCCACCAATTGCTCCACAATCACCCTCACCTATCATCTGGGTCTGCTACAATAGGCCAGAAGTGGCCGCAGTACAAGGGACTTAGTCCCGCCCCACTAGCAATAAAAAAAAATCTCTTATCCAGTTCGCACTCCCACATTTCTCCAAGATACTGTTTTTCATTTAGTGGTTCGCGGACCGGTGTGCACACACACTATACATGGAAAACAATATTGACACCCAATGACACTAGTTTCTTTTAGGGACCAAACAGCGAGGTCTGAATATCATTGCTTCCTTTCGTCTTCAACCCTTTGAATTACAGTGGTTACCATCATAATCAGCCTCTATCCTCTGTGTTAGCATAGAAAACAAAAAGGTCTGGGAAGAACTAAGCGTCTAGTCAAGTCAAAGTCACATTGCGACTAACGGTTGGTCAGTCAGTCAGTTAGTCTTGGTGTCCAGCCCCATTTGGGGCTCATGACCAAGTATTTACTACTGTTTGACAGTTACAGCCTACTTTACTTTCACTGCATACTATTTGATACGACACGGACCGCATAAAAAACAACGCGTCCAACTGTCGTTCTGTTGTTCCTTGAGTATTTTTGCCGTGGGAATGTGTTTAACGAGCCATTGCCTAGCAACGGCCGTCTCCTCTGGCTTCACTCTTGATATGGGAACACAAGGACACAGAAAGCAAAGTGATCTCATAGGCGTGCTGTAGGCTGAAAATCTGTATTTATCTTACCTACTGCTACCGACTCGAAGTAACGTACACAGGGACAGGATACCAAGCCTTTGCTGCAATGTTCTGGTCCCATCCGTAACTAATACCACCTCTACCATCTTCTGCAACCAATTCCTGTATGGTGATAATGTTCTTCCACTTTCTCTGTATTTAGGGCCATGCCATAGCTCAAGCGGTTAGTCGCTGGCTTCCCACCGCGGCGGCCCGGGTTCGATTCCGGGTCTGGTCAAGTGGGATTTGTGGTGGACAAAGTGGCGCTAGAGTAGTTTTTCTCCGAGTACTTCGGTTTCCCCTGCCAATCTTCATTCCAGCAATTACTCCACAATCACCCTCACGTATCATCTGGGGCTGGTACAATAGGCCAGAAATGGCCGCAGTATAAGGAACTTAGTCTCACCGCACTGGCAATAAAAAAAATAAAAAATCTGTATTTACAGATGCCTTCTCTGTCCAAAATTACATCCTGTCACGTCATCACATTTCCTATTATTCGTCTCTCTTCCTTCATCTTAGTTTTATCATTCTTCGTTACTCTTTCCTTAGCAAACTCTGTTGCAATGTCTCTCCTACAAGAAATGTGTTTCCACCTCTAGTTTAATTTAATCTCGCCTTGTGACGGGAATGTCTGTAGCTGCCGTCCTTCAGTGTCTTAATCCTAATTCAGCTTGCCGAAGATCTGCTTTAGGAGCTGTTCCAGTATGTCCTCCGAAAGAAACTAGGAAATAAAAAAAGATGTACCGAAGACCTTAGATAGGAAACTTTTCTTAAAATGCCCTCATTAATATGCAGACGGCAGACAAACTTACGAACTAAAATTACATAACTGAGTTGCCGACTTTTGCAGACTATTCGTTAAACCTCTGAAGCTGGCAAACACCCTACAGTCTGAGACCTTCGCCATGTTGCCACGTGCCAACACAGAGTTTATGAACATACGCTCCGACATTAGGCCTACAATGTTAAACCTCATAATTGGCCTTGGTATAACTCGGGTGGTGGCTTCTCACCGCGGAAACCCGGGTTCGATTCATGGTGAAGAAGCGGCACTGGATTAGGTACTACTCCCGAAATATTTCCCTCTTTCTCATTCTAGTCATATTTCCACCATTCCTCCGTACTCGTCACAGCCCTGAGCAGGCAGCACATTATCATTTCCTAGGTCTCCCGGGTTCGATTCCCGGCGCTACCAGATTTTCTGAATACTGGGTTTGGAACGGGGTCCACTTAGCCTCGTGAGGATAACTGTGGAGCTATTTCAAGGAAATAGCGGCTCCGGTCTAGAAAACCGAGATTAACGGCCGTGGGGATTCGTCGCGCTGACCACGCGACATCCTCTATCCGCAAAAGTTGGCACTAACTTCGCCAACAAGCGGCGGTCGCTCGGTCGGTTCACTTGCGGTCTGAAACCACGGAGTTCGTTGCTTGTAGGTCTTTAATTTGGGGGCTTCATCTCTGAAGCTATGTTTAGGTGGTCATAGGATGAGGAAGTTAGTCTAAACTTCAAGACAGCGTACACATTGAAGTATAATCTTGTAATTCTGCAGTGTTCAATAATTTATTTCTTCTCAGCACATATTTTCCGATTCATTAATCATCCTTTCATTAGACATTACTCGTACATATTACGAGCTACTGACTGCGTCATA